ATATATATATATATATATATATATATATATATATATATATATATATATATATATATATATATATATATATATATATATATATATATATAATATTTTTAACAGTTATATCCGTTAGTAATTTAATTCTTAAGTGTAACAATGAGAACCGTTAGAACAAAATTCTAACACGTATGTGTGTTACAAATATTATTTTCCTAACGCATCTTCTTTTCTGTTTTCCTAACGGTTATGATCCGTTAGAAAATTTTGCCCTTCAATTTCAAACACGCGTTTTTTAATCCTTTTCCGCCGTTAATAACGGATAATAACCGTTAGAAAATGGTCTTTTTGGTGTAGTGTGCTTTTGCGGAGTGTAGCGACACTACAAGAAAAGGGTCTTTTAATAGCATATTATGGTAGCGTTTTTGTAGCAAGTGCTATAATTAATTTTTACGCATTACATATTTATTTAAAATAAAAAATGAAACGCTATAGCTTTAGATTGTTTTCGGCGATTATAAATACCGTCTGTGTCTAACTTAAATCGCCCAAGGCCCAATTTTTTCGCACAAAGCTAACATTCCTCTACATTTCTCTCGCCCTCGCCTTCTCCCTCGCCGTCGCATCGATTTACCAGTGCGCCATCTTGCTGATTCTCTCCGTTCACTGCCCCTGTATCAAGCTCTCACTCTCTACTTCTCTTATTACTGGTAATGTTTCCCAATTTCACTTTTTTGACACAAAACCCTAACTTTATTAACTTTTGTTCTAGTTGATTGCTCAAATTGGTGAAGGCACACCAACGTTCTCGCACCCTTTCGTTCGACTGTTAACTTCATCTATTAAAAGATTTTTACACCGTCTTGTTCAATCCAGGACGATTATTATTTATTCTATTAATTCTGTTTTGAAGGGCGCTCCTTTTTAATGGTGTTGGTATTTTGTCATCACATCCCCGTAATTTTTCTTTTTTTTTTTTTGTTTTCTTTCTACGTTTTTAGTACTTTGGGGTTTTTAAGGGTTCACTGATTTCAATTTCACGTATTGTCCTGTACATCCTCTTTTTATAGAGAAAGGTATATTTGTCATTTGGCTCTATGTGTGCCTTTCGAGTTCTAGTGAAAAGACTTTGAGTGCAGATTCATTGGTGTTTGGAGGCTTTGTGTTGCATGGTCACAACCATTCGTTGAATGCTCTATCTGAATTTACCTGAATTTACCTGGTCGTTGATGTACCAATTTGTGTTATTGGTAAATTGTAAAACTTGTGACATTATTTGCCCTATATGTGATTGTCAGGTTGTTGACATACTTGAGTCTCTCTTGAACGAGACAGTGAAATGAAAGTTTCCACCTTATTAAATTTTTTTTATTACAATACTTTAATTACATCTAAGCTTGGTTAGTTCTTTTTTCAGATTGTTAGTTTGAGTATTTGTCAAGCTCAAAGACTTGAATGAGCTTTAAAGCTTGTAGTCTGCTTCATCAATAATGTACGGTTTCACTTGTTTATTGCAGATATGGGAAGTGTATCCAATCTTTTAATTGCGTAGGCAGTACAACGTATGGTATAAAGAAATGCAATCTCCATGTTTTATTCTTTAAATTCTATTTGGTTAGTATGTTTGAGTTTCTTTCATGCTTTAGTTCATATTTGGAAGTAAAGGTGAGACCACATGGTCATGGTCACTCCAAATTCCCTAGTCTCTATTTATATGTATGTGTGTAATATATATCTCATAT